TACTTAATTATCGGTGGAACGGCGTGGCACGCCCGCCCCGTTTTGGCTAGGTGTTAACAAATTCATTTCACTCGGAAACTGTAACTGGTTTGCTTTGCAGCTCCATCACGTAGAGTCAGAGCCAGAGCCAGAGCCCCAAGAGCCTTCATCATCGCTTTGGCCTGATGTTTTCCTTCACGGTGGCTATATGGCTCTTTAATCTTGCGGCAGAAGGGGCGGCAACATTATTTGCATGCTGATTAGCCTTCAATGTCAGTCGCCAGACAGGTTGCACCTCACTTTCCCATGGGGCCGGGGCTTTATTTCTCTATCCACCGACTGCTCCAATTTTCAACACTTTTGACGTGACTGTTAATTGATTTAGAGTGCCAGTGCGGGCAACTCCATCTCTCCATCTCTGCATCTCACCATCTCGATCTCCATCTCCATGTTGGGTCTATGATTATAGAGCGCCACTTGCTTGTTATGGCCAACTTTGGCTCTGGCCACTGTAATGACTCGCCGACTTCGTTGCTGCCCGGTAATTGTTGGCCATTTTGCTCTACGTGCCGTCTCATGGGGGGTTCCCCCGGCCAGCCGCTCGCAAATGTTTGCCTAACTGCTCAATCGTGCAGAAATGACAACTTTATTAGCAGTTGGTGGGCGGCAACGACAACCAGATTTACAAGATTAACAATTTATATCAAGAAAAATGGTCAAAGGATCCCATTTTATTCGGAAAAACGTGGGGAAAGAGCTAATTAAATAAGAATGCATTTTATATTTTAAAACAAATTAAAGAATAAAATATATAAATTATATTATATTTTATTAAGATGCGTAGTAAATTACATTTCCACATAACTTATTTAATTGCTATTAAATTTTTTTTCACAGTTGGTTAGTTTTTAAATTTTAAAAATTCTCTAAAAATCATTTTGATCTTAAAAAAATGAAACTCTTAAATTTTTCACCAATACTGCAACCTAGTTTTATGTTTAGGGAAATTCCTAGCAATTTCCAGGGAAAGTCCCACTCCAGTTTATAAGAACACCTTGAAGATGCACTGTACCCACAGTAACTACTCTGGTTACAGCGATTTGAATTCGAGGTTTCCCCAGCAACTGCAGCGCCATGTGCTGGAAATTTCCTCCATCGGGCATTCCGCGAAAGCAGAAATCACTCCAAATGTTCCGACGGTCAGTAAAACAGAGGAACACCTTGCCGGAGCGTCGAATTCGGTACGCCACCATTTTTTAATGCTCGCCGGGAATCGGAGACATGTGCAAGAGCAACAGATTGCCGAGGGGTTTTCGGTATTTCAATATATCCGTAGGTAGGGATGTGCAACAAATGAAACGAATCTCTGAGGGCTGGCAGTTGGTGGTCGCAGCAGGTACTTGGAAGTCCTAGCATAGAAGGATCAGCAGCAGCATCCTGAGTGCAACAGGCTGCACTAGCCCAAATGGATTGCCTGCTTTTTTTAACATGCAGGAAAGATTTACTTTTGTGTTTTGTTCTTGACCTGGCAGCTGCTCTGCGATTCCAGCAAAATGGTTTCAATCACAACACAGCCAGACCATGGATCCTTTTTCTAGACAAGGATCTGTAGGATCTATACTATCTGCTGCTGATGATTTCAAAATCGCCTGTTGCTGCAGTGATTTCTAGATCAATGTTTCCTCATTCCAATCATGCCCTCGTTAAGGTATTCTTTTAGCCGATTCTGCGATTTGGCCAACACCCAACGATTTAAAAGCGTTCAAGTAGTTACAATGCCCATTGGCCTTTTCCATTGAATTTGTCTAGTTCGATTATGGCTTATTTGTATTCGGTTCGGCATTCTTTACGCGATTTTTATGCTAAATAGATAATGTCTGGTAGGCTAATGAGCAGTGGCTATGGTCAATAGGAATTCCAAGTTGTGACTCTTTAAATTTCTAATGGTTTCTATCGAAAAAAAAAAGGTAACAAAGGTGCGTATAAGAACTTTGCGGAATTGTTAAGAATTCAAGTTGTATTTTAAAGATTAAAACAAATTTTAAAAGGGACGAATGTTCCTGAGAAATAAAAGTGAAAGTGTAAAAACTTGACCTAATTACTTTAAAAAGTTAAAATTTTTCGTTACTGTTTTTTGTTTTAAGATATAAACATCAAAATCGTAATGAAACACGGCAAGAAGACATCATACTTAAAGCTCTACCATAATATTTAATCAACATTAAGCCAAATTATATGAATTCAAAGGGAACTGGGCTAAACAACTTTTTAAGGAACAGCTTAAATTTTACTGCTAAATTTTATCGCTCGGAATGTTTGCGGCATGTTGTCGCTCGTTGATGCCACACACGAAAAACTACAAAAAATTAAAGCAAGTACAAAAAAATGAGGAGCAGACGCAAAGTGAAGCCTGATGGTCACCGGCTGCCCGTTGGTTTTATTTTACTGTGCCTTTGTTTTTGGTTTAGGGCCGCGAAGCCAATCAAAATCTGGTCAGTGGCAGCAGCAGCAGCGGCAGCAGCAGGTTGAAAGTGGACTTTTAGGGCATGCATAAATAAATGATCAGCGTGCAGCGATCGGTTTTTAATTACACAGACTTGCAGTTGACATTTTTTGGTTGCCCGGGCATATGGCACGCGTTGGGGGCATAGACAGATCCAAAAAGGACAGTGAGAGTTTGTTGACACTGGAGACAGCTGCTCTGCTTCGAAATATTTGAACAGCTTAAAGTTTGCCGAGCTGCTGTATGTTAACATTGCGCAAACATGCCACAAAGGACACACATTTCCGCATAAATGTATTTTTCCTTTGTGGCATCTTTTTTCCCCCGTCGCCCCTGAAAACAAGCCAAGAAGTCAAAGGAAAAGGAAATCATTCTGTTTCTTATTCGCATTCACATTCGCATTTCTTCTACTTCCACCCCAAACTGTGACGACTACTGTGTCCTTTGTCCTGTTCCGAGTTATTTTTTTCTTCCTTCCTTTGACTGACATATTTCATACAATTGCCTGGCATTGTGTTGATTTTCCATGGCTGTTAAATTGATGGATTGCTGTGCGACTTCTGACACCACACACAATTGCAATTCCCCCTGCTGTCGTTGGCCGTGAAGGAAACTCCTCAAGGATCTCCGGGGAAAATCTTAAGCAAGCATGCATAATGCCAATGACAACTGCCGCCAGTCCTTTGGATCCTTGAGCTCGTGTCTCCGCCGAGCTGACATTTACTACTTTTTTGGGGATTTTTAGGCGACATTTTTATGGATATCACATTAGGATTGCGCTAAAGAGAAACGTATGACTTTGAAGAAATAAATCTGTCAATCACAAATTAAGAAATCCTATTAGATTTCGATTTTAAAGGAATGCCATTGATTTACCATCAGCTTATTAAGAACAAAGATGTCTGACTTCAATAGAAAATCATTAAAAATTAGCTTAAAAATATGTGTGCCCCTACTATTTTGTTTAAAATTGCTTAGAAAGAACACCATTTAAAATATATTTAATGATCATTTTTCTGATATTAATTTAATATCCTAATTTACTTTGCAGTAATAAATTAAAATTAGAAATATACCTAGTTTAAATAAAACTTTGTGCCTCCAATCTTAGGTTTAGTAAAACTGTGATGGGCATTAATTTCTTTTCCTGCTCTTGAATAACATCTGCCAATCCTCATAGCCAACCCTTCATTCTAAGATGCACTTGTTTCACTTGAAACCAAGTACACATACGAGTACAGATGTATCTATTACCCCCGAGAAACTTCTTCGAGAATCAGCTGACACAGAGAGATGGAGCGAGTGGGCTAGGGATAAAGAGAGAGCGAGAGAGGGGCAGCGGAGCCAAGAAAGCGGACGCAGCCACTTGAGAAATCCACCTGCACGACTGGAAACGATCTGCGATCTCCGGCGATACACCATATACACCATATACCCTCTCCATAATACCCCTCCGACTGGCGACTGACCGTCCCTGCAGTTTTAATTTTGGTTGCGTGGTTCTTCTGTTGGCGCTGCTATAGCTGCTGTTTCTACTTGAGCAAACTGCAGATTACCCAAGTTGAGCCCTTAAGTGTGTTCCATATCAGGTTTATCATTCGCTGTCATTGTCGTTGTGGCTCCGAGACGAGCATACGCTTCACTAACCCAACGAACGAACGAACGGATTAAATATATCATTTTTGTTCCCTCTTTAATGAAAGGGTTGAGCTAAATTCAGTTCGCTTCGATGGCCAGTTGGTTGGAAGCTCTCGGCTAACACCTGAAAATTGCAGCTTACCCGAAAAATAAATATAAAACGGAAACTTTATTTCGGGGACATCGCACATTACACACTAAATATGCTTTATGAAGAAAGTCGAGCCATGGATATATGGCTCAGGGGTTGGTAATATAGCCGAGCGTAATGATTGATATTGAGGAAGTTGCCTTGCGGTTATATTACAAAATATCCTTTTTGGCTGGACGATTTACACTGAACGATTAATAAAATAAAAACCACAAAATTTGTTTTATTCTGATATGCGTACTTAAAAAGTAAGTCAATAAGTGTCATAATAAAAATGTTTTTAGATAGGTAGGATATCAAAACCAAGATATTTGGTATTAAAATAATTTAGGCAATACATGTATTTGCTTATTTGCTAAAAGAAAATATAAAAATGTATGTCTAAAGAATTAATAATAATAGTACACAATTGCAAAATAAATATATTTAAAATCTTTTAGATTTGTTAGGTTTTTTATAAAATATTACTACTATTATAATCATTAAAATTAATTAAATTCATATCATAAATTAATATCTGAATGTCATTCGTATTATTTCTTAAGAAATTTTTTTTCAGTATAAGCCCAATGCATTTACGTTGCAAGTCAAGGGCTAATAAAGTCCTTAGCAAAAAGTTAACAATTAAGCAAAGGAAGGAAGCACAACAGGGTGTTCTTATAAAATTAAACAAAAGTAGGCTTTAACTTAAAATTATATTAGAAAGTTTATGATACTTAAATCTTTGAAACACACATATCAAGGCAAATTTAAAATGAGGATTACCTGGCGAACGTTTCCCAAATTGCTAATTGTGGTGCCATTGCTGCACTTTTACCTGGCCCACTGTGTTCAGGCCGAATCAGAGGAGCACAAGCGCCGCAAAGAATCGGGTAAGAACCTTATTTCCCGATTCAAAATTAAAAAAAATCGATTGCTTTGTCAGAGCAACCTAATGGACAGAATTGAATATCGCCTGGCTGATGAGGCAGGGGATGTTGCGAAAACCCTGGGTGGACACCCTGTACGGAAGCTCGATGGCGAGGAAGTAAAGGCACACAAATTACCCCAAGCCAAAAACTTATCGACAAGCGTCGCTCGAAACTGAAACGGAAGCAGAAAGTCAAGGTGCAAAACCAAAAATCATTACACCTGTTCACAAACACAGCAAACCGAGGAAGATGTGAGTGTAGAAAGCGTAGAAATCGAATGGACAGCGGAGAAGTAATGTGAGGCACGCCAAGTTGAAAATTTAACGCTCGTAGTTCATCCGCAAGGGTTGAAGAAGTTCTTCATGGGGCTGGGGTAACTCTGTTTCGTTTTTAGTTTTATTTTATACTTTTGGATATATATTTCGTTTTCGGGGAAAACTGGTCACGGTTCATGCTCGCCGCTTTCTGTTGCATGTGGCAGGCGACACAAATGCAAAGCAAACGAAAATTGTACCGTCTTGATATCAGAAATTAATAAACTTAATGAGCGGCCAGCGAGAGATAGTCATCTGCAGCTGCATTTGCTCGCCTTGCAAAAGGATTTGCACGAAATTGCATTTTAATTGTTTTGTTAAATTTCATTTTTGGCCACTCAATATTGGTTGCTGATGGTAGATGGCATTAGCACTTCTTTGGGGACTGCACCTGCCTTTCCCTGGAGATCCCTGGAGAAAGGTGTGTTGAGAACGGGTTCCGTTTATAGGTATTAATTAAAGTTATATTCGGGGGTTTTTGTATAATTTATTATCTATTCATCAAGAATTTTGGGCACACAAAAAGGGTTGAAATTAGTCATTTGTGGCAGATGCAAGAGCAGCTGAATAAAATTAAACTAAAACAGTGTGAGATAATGATATTCACACCTTTTGTATTACGACTTAGGAGTGCATTTAAATTAAATGTTTTATGTAATAAAATGTATAGTTTATTCCTTAAAAAAAACATTTTTTGAGGCTTTGAAGACCCTGTTGCTCGAACACGTTTTGTCCTTCATGTGAAACCAAATTACTTCGTTCCGGCCTCCAGCTAACTAGTCATCAGATAAAAAAGATAATTGCGGTGGTTGCATATAATAAGCGTTTAAATTATGGTAATCCTTTAGTGTATATTTGTTTGCATAAATTAAAGCATGAAAAAATAAACTTTTCATTTAAATATTAGCCTACAAATATTACATAGTTTGCATTAACTATCCTTAATATTTAATCGACGGTAACAGCTCCATTCAAAAAGTTTCTCATGGCAAGTTACGCGTTAAGATCCTTCAAGATAACCACCCTTTTTTTAGATTAAGTATATAATTTGTACGCCTTATCAGCCGGAAACTCGTATTCTCCGCTTTTATCAACTTCATTACGCAATGCTCTCGTATAATTATTTGCCAGGGGAAAAACTCACTCGGCAACAAAAGACTTAAGCCACGAACCTTCTTCTTCTCGATCAAGAGAAGAGGGTAAAATTACGGCATTCGGATATTACTTAATCATACATTTGACTGGTCGACTATATATGCAGAGCACCTTGCAGCCGTGATGGGGCGAAATTGAAATGACAGTTGAGTTTATGACAACGGGGAGGAGCAGCAGTTGAGAGATGAGAATACGAATGGGTATTTTTGGCAATGCGTCAGTTGCAATTACAAGTGACAGGAGGAGATGCACCAGTGGCTGAGGGGCAGGGGGATTGGGAATGGGTATAAAGATCTGCCCGATGACAACCTGCAACTGTCAAAATGTCCGACAGTGGCAAAAACTGTCAGCGGATGGCGGGGCAAATGTGACGCCATATAAAATCAATAAATTATGAAAGCCGAAGGGCGGACTGAGAACTGAGGGCTTCACCTCCCTGTGGCAGTGGCAGCCGGAGTTGCATAATGTATTCTAAGGATGCCAAAAAGGAGTGACGACAAACCGGTTGCAACTCCATCAGACGGCGTCCTTAGGGATTCTCCCGATCGCCTGTATTTGGCGTTGATTGATTTAGTTAGTGGCAAGAAGCACTTCGGTCTCTTGCCTCCTCCTCTTCCTTAATGAATTAATTAATGAAGGCCATAATTAAATTTGCACTTTGTTGCTTGGGCCTGCTGTTGCATGTGCTAATTTATGAGTTTTTAATTATTTTTGCAATTAATGTTGTTTTTTGCACCAGCATTATAATTATTTCCTGGCAACAGGATCAACAGGATATGCTGCTCATTTGTCAGTTGCGAAGCGTTAAATCGAGACCCCAAAAAACAAGCTTCCTTCATCCAAAGGAGGGGCAAGTAACAAAAAAACGAAAGACTCAGGCAACGAACTTGTTTTCAGTTTGGGGCGCCAAAATTTTATATTTTTCAGTTTCGTTTTTTTTTTTTGCAGCTGCTTTTCTCTTGTGTTTTGTTTTTTTTTTTTTGGTAATTATTAAAAAGCATTATTTTCTCCGTGGCTCGACAATAGAAACCAGCTAAGGCTTCAGGTGTATTGTTCCAATTTACAACTCACATCGAGAAAACTGTCATTTCGAGAACTCAATTGTTTGGAAATGATTTTCGTGCGGCAGGTACTCGTAGTTTTAAGCGTACATCTCTCTCCATAACCAATTTTTTGGGGGTGAAAACAAGAGAGATCTTCTTTCCACTATGGTTTTTGTGCGATGTGTCTCTGCTGCAGGTGGACTGCTCGAAATGTTCTCAGGCCGAAGTGAATGCCTCTTGGCTGGTACAGTTATAAAACTGTTTTAGATTTTCTTCTCTGTTTTTGTTTTTTTTTGCGAACGTGGGAACTGAATTCTGCAACAATATCCAAAGTTGATGAATAGGTTTCAGTGCCAAATAAAAACCAGGTGGAGCTGGAACTATCGATGAACAAGCGTTGGTTGCGGCGATTAAAATTTGATGGGACCTAAAATGGCTTAAACATGGGGTTTTATGACGAAATAAAAAGATAACCTTCTAAAGGATTTGCATTTTAAACGTTTTACCCACCGATAATATTGACAGTTTAAAGAAAACCAAAACAATCTTTCTCCACCCATCTGAAAGTATAAATATATTCTCACAATTTGTACAATTTCCTTTTTATTTTCCGACACTAATTTCCATTTTCTTGTACCAACATCTCCCATTCACTCTTTCTTTCGATGTACAAATATTTGTGTTATGCATTAAATGGAATATTTTCTGTTTGCTCACCTCACTTTCCTAGCAATTTCACTGTCCATAAATATTTTTAGCTCCGCCAGCTGCTGTCCAATCTCCGATCTGCAATCTGCAATCAAATGACTCGACAACTTTGCAAACACATTTCTTAGGATTTCGGTTTTCTTTTTCCAGCTTTGGCTTAATTGTTTGCAAATTAGCTAATTAGTTAATTAAGACGTGATTACAAGGGCAAGAGCTGTATTCTCTTAGTTCAGGGTTAGTAACCTGATTTGGGCATTTATGAAACCATTTTCAAATTGAAATTACCACGGCCGCTTACAAATTTCCGCAATTTCAGACGAGAGATGAGATAAGCAAACGGAAAACGCAGAGTAAAAACAAAGCAGCCATAACCATACGAAAATTAAGCCAAAAATTTGAAAACAATGAGCTTGAACAACTTAATTGAGATGTTGAGGCTGCAAGCCCTCTTTTAAGCTGGCTTCTTGTCATCGTTAAGGAGTTAATTTATTTATTATCCCCAGATTTTTACGGCTCCATTGTTTTTCGTTTATTCCAAGACGGGGGGCTGCTGAGCCCAAGAATAATAAAATATTAAACGGCAACCGCAGCAGCCGAAAAATGAAAAAACCAAGAGACAAACCACCGAAAGAGGAAGAACCGGCTCTTAGCTAATTAGGAGCTTCGGGGAAAATATATGTAACACCGAAAACCGAAAACCAACTCGAAAATGTTTCTTTTTATGGATGCTCATCTCTGTGCATGTTTCTGTTGTCTCCGCGTCGTTAGCCCTCCTTTTCCTCTCGCCCCAACTCTTTTTCGTTTTATGATGTCGAGAGATTTTGCACCTTATGAGAAAATCTTAAGACTCGCTGGCCATCTCCGCCGCTGCCGTCGCTGCCAATCTTGTTAAACTCGCCTCAAAGCCGCATTGACACTTTGTTGCGCTTTGGCTTTGGTCCCAGAGTTACAATCCATCCAAAACACCGGGCTTCGAGCGGGAAGTTAGTCCGGCATTTCGGCTCTTTGCTCTTTTTTTTATATTTTTCATGTGTCTCTGTATTTGAAAGTCCGTTTGGCTGTCAAAAGCGTTAATTTTTAAGTGCCTAGTGAGAGTTTTTTCTCCCCATCGAGTTCAGTTTTCAGTCTTGGCCAACAGCCACTCAAAGGCGGCTTTCATCTCAGCCTCAGAAGCAGCTGCCGTATAATTGTATGTGTGCGCCGGTTTTTAAGGCTTAATGAGAGCACGGGTTCAAGTGGCAAGTGTCTTGTCTATTTCTTATTTGCAGCATTCTTTGGCCTAAAGTGAACCCATTAATTTGTCGCTTCAAATGGGTTGCCATCTTGGCATTTTTCACCTGAAATTTTCCCACTGACTTGGTTATTGACCCAGCTTTTTCCCTTTAATATTTTTGTAGAAATTTGGCACTTTATTTTGTTACCCGCAGAATAAATTTGCTCACAAAGACCACTATGTATAAATCAAAACAATAATGAAATACAGTTTAAATATTAACAAATAATTACAAAAAAAAATATTATTTAATTTTTAAGATTTCCCTTTAAGTTGTTAGTTTTATTAATTTGATTCCACAATTTTGAATACTTTAGAATCCCCTCATATTTTCAGTTATTCCCACAATAATTTCCATTCCCCGCCTAATAATTTCCTACCCCCGAAAATTGTGCTCCCCCAAAAACCAACAAACCTGCTAGCAATTTACATATTTTATATGTTCTGCTCAGCTAATTGCGAATAAAATGTTGACCCAAAAATTAAACGAACAAGCGAGTTATTTCAAATTTCCGTGGCATGTGAGAACCTTGCTCGAGATGTGGCCCAAGAAAGAAATGCTGGCCTTCATATTTAATTATTTCAAAAATTGCATTTTCCTTCTTCTTTTTTATCATTTCACATATA